TTCTCTGAAGCCATAAAGTACAATCGAGAAGACAATGTACCATACAGTGCTGTGGCACTATGAATGCATGGTTTCATTGTTCTCTGTACGAATAACAATGGAATAAACCTAGCCAGAAAGGCGCTCCTGTCAGATGCCATTTATGTCCTACTTCCTAAACACGGTGGAGATTTTTCAACGAAATCTGACTTGTAAAACGAACTTTAATAAATGCGAGCATCAAACCCCATATTATGCTCTGAATATTCTCTGCTGACTGGGCATACTGGGCCTTGGGAGTACGAGTTGACTCGGGTGTGAGCCAACCTGGGTACGAGTAAACTCGGGTGCATATTCTGGGAGGGATCCGGACAACTCAACCGTTTGCCAAATCAACTTCGGACAACTCGACCGTTGAGACAAGTCAACTGTTGAGACAAGTCGTCCATTGAGACAAGTCGTCCGTTTGAACAAGTCGTCCGTTGGGACACTGTCCACTCAGCCCAGTCGTCTATTGAGACCATACATGTATGCCTTAGGGATGGAACTTCATGTAGTAGATAGACAAGCTTAATTTCTGAGGAATGTATAAAAATGGTGGCTGTAGTAATTCATTCTTTGCGCAATCAACCGATCTTGCACCCGCGCTGCACGTATAAGGCCCGTATGCATTACAGTCGTATCTTGAAATAAAAACCTACCTGCTTGGTGTTGTCCTTCAGTTCTGCATTCTCAGACAAGTTTGGGTTTAAAGTGAAATGTAAACATCTTCTTGAACAAAACTTGCCCTCGGAAAATTTTGGCCAGAATTCTGATTCCCACTTTGACATTTTGGAACAGTAGGGGGAAAAAATGACGAATAGTCTAGGGCGATATACATGTATGTCACTCACTGCAAGTGATCCTAAATCCTTTTTTCATACTCAACAGTCATATAAACTCTTGTACCTAATGTCTGTTTAATCAAAGTGACTTTCAAAGTTGCGTTTTATTAAAACTGGCCGAAAACTGAACACATATTGTTTCCTGTTTGGATCACGCATTAATATAAGTTCATGCACGCAATATACTTTGCGAACTCATACAGTTGAGTCGAAATTTACACACGATCCAATTTTTTTAAAATTCATTGGAATTCTTACTTATGAACCCAGTTTTCTAAATTGAGGAATTTTTCATTAGAAAATAAGCTTTTTACAATGGTTCTGGCTGAAAATAGATTTGCCGCTCATGTGGTTACTTTCTGGAAACAGATCCAGAACAAGAAAAA